CCTACAGCCACAAAAAAATCTACTCATATACACGTATCGATCACACACCTCGGTGATTTTGACCTGCACAATAGACAGCCCGCGGCACTTCCCTGGCAAACCCCTCTCGCGTAACTTGGGTGTCTGCGACCAGAACCCAATACACGCCCTATCCGCCTCATCATTCACATCCACCCCCGCACACGACGGGGCCTTGGACTTTCCTTTCTGCCTATCACCTCCACAGCCACTGCCAATATTACTACTACTACTACCGCCACTACCACTACCGCTACTACCACTACCGCCACTACCACTACCGCCACTACCACTACCGCTACTACCACTACCGCTACTACCACTACCGCTACTACTAGTACTAATGCTGCTATTTGCACTGCCAGGGCCCGTGGTGCTACCAGGACTATTGGCATCGTGGTTGAATGGAGGGTGGGTGGGTGTGGTGGGTGGACTACTCTTTGCACTGAAGTAGCGGTCACTGTTGCGAGTGAAGATCTCGTTGAGCTGAGCTACATCCTAAATAGTATGAGTGGGAATGAATCAAATGCAGCACAAGTCAGTCACATACAGCATATCACTTGAACCAACAGTATAATTATGTCCTGTAACGTATGGGTGTGAATGTCAGGAAAACAAGTACAACAAAGTTATGCCGTGCCACACACCACTAACATCAACAGTATAATTATGTCCTGCAACGTATGGGTGTGAATGTCAGGAATACCACTCCAGCAGGATACTGGCAAATGAGTGAAGAAGACACAGCCAATATTCAATACCAACCACTCACCCTCCTCCTTGCGCCATCACTGTGCCTGTGTCGTGCTGCCATACGCTCCATTCTCAACTCGTTGAGATCGCCCATACTACCACCCACAGGTTGACAAGCCGGAACAAACCGACGCATGATACCAGTAAGATTCTCGAGCGCCCTGATACTAAAATATAAATATGTTTCTTAGAGCCGTGCTCAATGTATATGTATATACATATAATATATAATTTTATATATATATATATATATATATATATATATATATATATATATA